AAAAATAGGGCCAGGGATATGGCTCAGTGATTGAGTGCCCCTGAGTTCAGTACTCAGTACCCAAGAAAAAACAAAAGCAAGAAATTAAAAGGTAAAATTTTGACTAAAGAGTAAAAAAAGAAAAAGGGAAAAAGCTGGGGATGTACTTCAGTGTTAAAGCACCCCTGGGTTTAATCCCCAGTACCAAAAAATACATATACTCATAAATAAGTAAAAGGGCTAGAGATTAAGTTTACAGTAGAGTGCCCCTGGGTTCAGTCCCCATTTTCAATCTTTCAATCTCAGATACCAATTTTAGTTTATTGCTCCTCTTCTTTCCTGCTATCCTAGCTCTTTTTTTTTTTTTTTCTTGGCCTATATATGCATTAAAATTGTTTTCGTCTATTTAAAAAAAAAAACTGGGGAGTGTCCTGCTCACTCCTTCTCTTTACAGACCTGCTTGTTGCTGGCTCCCCGTTCCCCACCCCTGAAGTAGTCCCCATTTGGCCCTTACCATGCCATTGAAATAGTTCTTAAAATTCTCCAAAGCCCATTTGCCTGAGTAGAGACTGTTTTCAGCTCTTTTACAAGATATACCATATTTATGATTGGATAGTATATGTTGTATATTGGTTGTATTTTTGGAAGCTGGGCACAGTGGCACACACTGTAATCTTAGCAATTCTTGAGGCTGAGTCAGGAACATAACAAGTTTCAGGCCAGCCTCAGAAATTTAGTGATACCCTCCATAATTTAGCAAGACCCTATCTCATATAAAAAGGACTGAGGATACCGAGTGCCCCTGAGTTCAATCCTCAGTACAGAGGGGGAAAAAAAATTTATTAGAGCCAGATGCTTTGGGTTGAGCTGCAGACACAACCCTACATTAGACACTTTTTATAAAGCAAATTTAGTAGTCTAACTGACTTAAGTGTATTTTTCAACATGTGCCTTATTTTAAGGAATACATGCCAGTAGCCAGGGTCATGACTCCATGATAGAGCACTTGAGGCCCTGGGTTCAGTTCCCAGTACCAAAAAAAAAGGAATACATGTCAATTTATTTAGATAATGTGACCTATTCTGAAAATAACTTTATGCTTTTCAAAAATGCATTGTATGCTTTATTTCCTTTTTTTTTTTTAATACTGAGAATTTAACCCAGGGCACTTTACTGCTTAGCCACATCCCCAGCATGTTTTGTTTGTTTGTTTGTTTGTTTGTTTTTAGTACCACTAAATAAATAAATATGAAACAAATTAAAGGCTTAATCCCAAAATTGTCATTCCACCACTGAGCTGCATCCCCAGCCCTTTTCATATTTCATTTGAGACCAGGTCTCCCTAAATTACCTAGGCTGGCCTGAAACTTTGTGATCTCCCTGCCTCAGCCTCATGAACTGCTAGGACTAAGGCATGTATCACTGTACCTAGCCAAAGGATTCCATTTTTGATCCTGTACACAATTATCAGTGATTTATGTAATATTACAGTTTCGGGGAATTTAATTTGTAGTAGAGACATCTTCATTATATTTCAATGGAAGGTTCCAATGGGTGGAGAAGAACGAATGGCAGAATTTCCTCCTCTTGTTGCCGAAGACATAACATTAGAAGAAGGACTTGGGGGATCTGAAGCAGTGGCTGACATCAAGTTTTCCTCTGCAGGTAATTTTACACCAAGTACTTCTCTCCCCTGTCACCCCCATGCTTGGAATTGAATCCAGGGCCTTATATATTGCTAGGCAAGCACTCTACCACTGAGCTGCAGCCACAACCCTACACTAGACACTTTTTATAAAGCAAATTAAGTAGTTTTACTGACTTGAGTTTATTTTTAGACATGTGCCCTATTTTAAGGAGTACATGCTAGTAGCCAGGGATATAAATGCTCAATGGTAGCGCACTTGAGGCCCTGGGTTCAATTCCCAGTACCCAAAAAAAGGAATACATGCCAGGTTTTTTTTAAGATAATGTGACCTATTCTGAAAATAACTTTTATGTTTTTTACAAATGCATTGTATGCTTTACTTTTTTTTTTTTTTTTTTTTTGCCAGGGATTAAACCCAGGGTGCTTAACCACTGAGCCACATCCCTAGTCCTTTTTATATTTTTTTAGAGACAAAGTCTCACTGAGTTGCTAAGTGCCTCACTAATCTGCTGAGGCTGGCTTTGAACTTGCACGCCTGCCTAGGCCTCCCAAGTTGCTGGGATTACAAGTGTGTGCCACTGTGCCCAGCCACATCCCCAACACTTTTTACACCTTCTTTTGAGAAAGGGTCTCACTGAATTGCTGAGATTAACCTCTGCGACTTGTGATCATCCTGCCTCAGGCCACCGTGGCTCTTAACTTTTTGAGACAGGGTCTCACTAAATTGCTGATGCTGACCTTGAACTTGCAATCCTCCTGCCTCAAGAATCCCAAGTCACTGGGATTACAGGCGTGCACCACTGCACCTGGCTCCATGTTTCTTAACAAGGTAGTTGCTAACAGCATTTTGTGTTCTGTCCCATGCTTCATAGGTTGGGTTGCAGTAACACCTCATTTTAAGGACAGATTACATCTCCGAGGCTACACACCTCAAGGAACAGTTCTGACTGTCCGGCCTCCTCTCTTGCCATATATTGTTAACATCAAAGGAGAGCGCATCAAGAGAAGTGTAGCCTATAAAACCAAGAAGCTTCCTTCCCTTGTATCCAATCTGCAAAAGAAGAAAAAAACAACAAATGTATGACATGGACCTGGTTCACACTGGATATTAACTATATTCCACATGGTAATATACATTAATTTATATTAAATATGGCTATAATAAAGTCCCTGATGCTGTCATCCTTCCTGAAAACCTTAGGTTTTTTGACTTTTTAAAACTATTCAGCACTGGGCTGAACTATTGATAATATATTGAGCCTATATAACAAATTGTTTTTTGCAGTTTATGTATATGTATGTACCTGTGACCTAAATATATATAAAAAGAATTAATACATCCAAATTTTTATTGAACCAGATTTCATTTATTTTATTTGGAGTCTATAGTTGACAGGGCAGTTAAGGAGTCAGCATATGAAAAAATGGCCAAAAGTCCTTCTCCAAAATACTTTGGCTGTACTCTATGTAATCAGTCATCCAAGGATCCATCTGGTGGAACTTTACCTGGCTTCCATCTCTGTCCAAGGAGGCCATTCAAGTTGTCATCCTTTCCCAGCAAGTATGAAGAGAGGGTAAGAGTGGGCAACAGGCAGCTTCCCTAGTTAATTGAAAGGAGGAAGAAAAGCAGAATGGTGAACAGCTCACAGTCCATTGGTCAGCCATCACATGGCTACAAGGAAGCTGGGAAATGGGAGCCATTTTGGGTTTTATCAAGAGAAGAAGGAGAAAATGAACTGGAAGACAAGTAGAAATTTACCTTGCACAGTTTGAAAGTGCCTGAAAATCTTAAAAAAGAATTCAGGCTTTATATTTCTAGCATCTAAGGTCAGTTCAACAAATGAGAGAATTTTAACCACTTATTAACATTTGCCTGTGTGTAGCTGAGAAACATGACATCAGTCAGAAGTCTTTACTTTTTGTTATTCTCTGTAAGTAGTACTGTAACTGCATCAGGTAACATAGCGTATGTTGAGATAAAGGCCAGTGGAATGATAAGCTGGGCCGAAATGCTGTTAAATCCATGAACTTCCTAATAGACCTATTCTCGACCATGGCCACACAGGTGATGGAAGCTGGGTTCCCCTGTGTGGAGTGGGCTAGCTGAAAAATACTGTAAAAAATCACACAACCCAGAAAATAGTTTTAAGGGGTGGGGGTGGGGGGTGCAGAAAAGCTCTTTGACCTTAGGGGTCGAGCTTCCACGCTGGAAAGAGAGAGTGCCTGTGTTCTGCTTTAGTTATATGGGAGAATTTCAGAGACTTTCTACAGAATGTTATTGGCCAATTAAGGTAGGGGGTAAGCTGTCTAGTTCCCAATGGGCCATGCCCAACTTCGGAGATAGAAGCCAGTCTTCCTAGCCAAGCGAAGACTTAAGTCGAGTGTATTGTGTAATCCATTCGGGGGGAGGGTGCACAAAATAGCTCCCAATGCCAGACCAAAATCTCCTTGGTTCAAGGCCCCATGAAGACGCTAAATAGCTCAGGAGTGGCTTCCCACAACCTGTGTTCTCTCCCACCACATGGGAGCCCTATGAATTTCACACTCATGTCTTCTCCCCATCCCTTAACCTCCCTCCCACCAAGTCCCTTAGACTAAATAGAATGGAGTACTTCAGATGCAAGACATAACTTGTACATTTTACTTTCATGGTATTTCAAACGGAGCTACACTGGTGTCTGGAAGAAGGTGGTTCTTCACAAAAAAACTGCATTTCAATAGGTCTGGCATCCCTTGTCCCCAGAAACTATAAACACCAGTAGCCACTCCCCCAGACCCCTCAGTTACACCCCAAAAGTACCCCCAACATTTCTAAATACACCTGTAGAGGGCATAACTTCCCAAGATGAAAAAAAAAAAAAAAGCTTTATTTCTAGTGGGTTTTTTTATCTTGGGGAGAATGCAACACCATGACTTTTTTTTTTTTTAGGTTTTATTTTATTTTTAATGGACATAGTAATTGTGTATATTTATGGGATACAATGTAATATTTCAAAATATACATTGTAGAATGATTAAATCAAAGCAATTAGCCTTTCACCTCAATTATTCATTTCTTTGTGGTAAGAACAATTAAAATCCTTTTAGCTATTTAGTAAAAACACATGATACATTGCAACCCCTTGTCCTTGCTCCTGGCAGCCACCACTCTAGTCTCTACTTCTGTGAGTTTGACTTTTTTAAGTTCCATATATAAGTGAGATCATATGGTCCTTGTGTCTCTGTGCCTAGTTTACTTTGCATATCTTCTAGGTTCATCCACATATTGAAAATGACAAACTTCCTAATTAAAACACATTCTTAGCCAGGTACACAGTGTGGCACACCTGTAATTCCAGCAGCTCAGGAGGCTGAGGCAGGAGGATCACAAGTTCAAAGCCAATCTGAGCAATTTAGCAAGGTCCTAAGCAACTTAATGAGACTGTCTCAAAATAAAAAGGCTGGGGATGTGGCTCAGTGGTTAAGCACCCTTGGTTTCAGCCCCTGGTACCCAAAAAATAAAACATGTTTTTGAACTCATGAATCTAAGAAGAAATAAAACATATACAGTGACAATGCATGATTTAAAAAGAATAATAAACTGGGCACCATGGCACATCTGTAATTCCAGCAACTCAAGAGGCTGAGGCAGGAAGATCACAAGATAGAGGCCAGCCTCTGCAATTTAACAAGCTCTAAGTGACTTAGACCCCATTTCAAAATAAAAAAATTTTTTAAAAGGGGATATAGCTCAGTGGTAGTGCACCCCGAGTTCAATTCCCAGTACCAAAAAGATTTTTTTAAATAAAAATTTTTAAAGAGTGATAAATCAATACAGATGTAGCTAAAAGTATATATTGATAATCTTGTCAGTTTAAATAGATTTTTTTAAAGGAAAAACTGAAAGAGTTAGTTGGGTGTGGTGATGCATGTCTTAATTCAGAGGAGGCTGAAGCAGGAGGATTGCAAGTTTGAGACCAGTTTCAGCAACTTAGTGAGGCTCTAAGCAACTGAGTGAAATCCTGTCTCAAAATAGAAATATAAAAACGTGAGGAGGGAGTTGGAGATGTGGCTCAGTGGTAAAGCATCCCTGGGTTTAATCTCCACTACCAAAAAAAATAGTGAGACCTTGTCTCAAAATAAAAAGGGCTAGGGCTAGGGCTCAGATGGTACAGCATCCCTTGGTTCAATCCCCAGTACCAAATATATATATTTATCTTTAACTTGGCATTTGCAGAGGAACTGAGTTTTAGAAAATAGAACATGCCCTCTTTTTACTTTTCTCTCTAGACTAATAGATTTTAGGCTTTTGGACTCATAAAGATTTTTTTAAATGTTCATATTATCAGGAGTCTAAAATTCAAAAGTTTTGTTTCATAAAACATGACCTAGGCATATCTAAATTATTCCCAGGTAACTTGCTAGTGGTTTGCAACAGTGCTATTTACTAAGTTCCAATTTCATTATCTTCATCTCCTTGGATTTTTGTTTTTTCATCTGTAAAATGAGTTACACTAGATTTTTTTTCCTGAAAGATTTACTCCTAACCTCTTATGATTCTAAAAACAGGAGAGGATGTCAGCAAAGGATGGTTACAATGCCTCAGCCTCAGACAAAAATAAAAGGTACTCCATGCCTAGACTTGGTGGAGAGGTGGAGAGTTTTTTTTTTTTTTTTTTTAATTTTTTAAAATTATTTTTTGAGAAGGGAAAGCATATGGAAATGGTAGGAGACCCTCAATGTTACATAAAATTACATAGAAGAGGATGTGAGGGGAAAGGGGGGGAACAAGGGAGAGAATTGAACAACAGCAGATGAGGTAGAGAGGGATGATGGGAGGGGAGGGGAGGGGGGATAGTAGGGGATAGGAAAGGTAGCAGAATACAACAGGCACTAATATGCCATTATGTAAAAATGTGAGTGTGTAACCGATGTGATTCTGCAATTTGTATTTGGGGTAAAAATGGGAGTTCATAACCCAATTGAGTCAAATGTATGAAAGAAGATATATCATGAGCTTTGTAATGTTTTGAACAACCAATAAAAAAATATTTTAAAAAAGAGATTTTCCTATTACATCTAATTTAATTAGAATTTATTCACCACTGAGTATTAAATTATATTTACAGCTTTTTCTGTATCTAGTCAAATAAATATATGGTTTTTCTCCTTCATTCTGTTCATATGGTAAGTTTAAAAAACTGATATTTAAATGCTAAGTTAAACATGAAAAGCTGAAATGAAATTTATAAATTATGAGATACTAGCCTTTTTTGTATTTCACAGGATTTGAATTGTGTAAAATTTGATTTTATTAATTTTTTGCCCCCATATTAATGAGAAAGATTTCATGTAAATGACCTTTTTTTTGTAACATGCTTCTCCAGTTCCATCATCTTTGTAAATATTAGATGTTACAAAGACATTTCAAATCCTCATTGCCATGAATATCTTACATTCATTCACTTATTCACTGATTCCTTCATTCTAAAAATCTTGTAGACAGCCAACTGTATTTCAGACACTATAATAAGAGCTTCACAATAAATAATACACTTCATAATAAAAAAATTATTTTTTATTCTAATTTGTTATATATGACAGCAGAATACATTACAATTCATATTGGGGTGGAGGGTTTCTACTAAGATCTGGTATTAATTAACTCCATATTCCTCCAACTCAGTGAAGCCTAATTGCCCCACAATGGATCTTGCTTTGACAAGTTCCTGTTACTGTGTTAATTCCTGAGCTTTTGTTAGTTACTGATACTTCCTTAGTCCATTCATCTGAGAATGGAGATTTCTCTTACTCACTTATACTGTGCAGGGTTCAGGAGTTAGTGAGCGGTGGTGGCCAGGCAAGGAAGAGAAATTAATGGTAAGGTGTCAGGACAACCCCTCACTTCCACAGAACAAAGAGCTGGACAGTGGCATACATGGTAAATTCACAAGTTCAAGGCCAACCTGGGCAACTTACTAAGACCCTGTCTCAAAATAAATAAAGAAAGAAGGGCTGTGGCTGTGGCTTAATGGTAGAGCACCCGAGTTCAATCCCCAGTACCAAACACACACACCACCCCATACTGGGCATGGTGACAAGCCTGTAATCCCCAGCAACTCAGGAGGCTAAAGTAGGAGAATTTAAGTTTAAGGCCAGCATCCATGATTTAGCAAGACTCTGTCTCAAAATTTAAAAAAGGACTGAGGAACATAGTTCAGTGGTAGTGTGACCCTTGGTTCAATCCCTAATATGGGAGCGGGGTCAGGAATAAGAGCAGAAAACATCTAAAACAGTTTTTACTAGAAAGTTTACCAAATTCTGTAGCCTAATGGTACTTGTCACCTCTTTTGTTTTGAAGAAGTAAAAATATGCACCATCAAAGGGCTTTTTTTTTTTTTTTATGGTGGAGGAGGGTGGGAACAGGGATTGAACTCCGGGGTACATCCCCAGCCCTATTTTGTATTTTATTTAGTGACAGGGTTTCCCTGAGTTGCTTAGCACCTCGCTTCTGCTGAGGCTGGCATGTGTCACCATGCCTGGCTCAAAGGGCTTTTTAACTCCTATGTGACATTAGGGTCATTAAGCTTTTTATTTTGAAGAGAGACCTAATCTCTCTACTTTTCCCTTCTCTAATAAAACTAAAATAACAGCATCTCCATCAAACTAGAGTTGTAGACATTTTCTATTTTTATTCACCCTAAATACCAAGCTCTACAACCATCAGGGCTGTACTGTGTAGTTTCTAGGGTATGAATTTGTTACTTGAGATACTCACTTCCCTGACAACCAAGGAGAAGTGCAGCACAGATGCAATCTTTTTTTTTCCTCTTTTTTTAACTTGTTCTTTTTAGAAATACATGATAATAGAGTGTATTTTTTAATACTTTTTAGTTGTTAATGGACTTTTATTTTGTTTATTTATACATGGTGCTGAGAATCGAACCCAGTGCCTCACACATGCTAGGCAAGCACTCTACCACTGAGCTACTTCCCAGCCCCCAGTGGACTGTATTTTGACATAACAGATGCAATCTCTTTTGTGTGTTTCCGGATCAAACACTTCTCACAAAATGGAGAATGGAGGCTGGTTTCCTGCAGATGACTAACTTGGAGCTCCAGCCGTGTCCCCCGTGACAGAGTTGTTATTGCTCGCTGAGTAGGCACCCAGTGCTCAAGCCGAGGCCAGCCGTTCCGTAGACAGCCTCTGATCATTTACCCTGGCTTCCCGCCCACTTGGCTCTGTGTTGTGGAGCAATAGAATCATTTCCATTCTTTCTTGGGCTGTTCCATTTTCTCTTGGCTGCTTTCCTCTTCCCAGGGGGATTGTTTTCTCTCAACTGTCAAAGAATAATGCTTAAACATTAAAAACAAGACTTCAGACTCATGTAAATCAAATAAATAGCACCTCTGCCTGCTCTTGATGTCTCTCCCTCATGTTATGTGCCCCACTAATGCCGTGGAGTGGGAGGAAAATGGTGTGACATTACTATTTTAACATCATGTTGGAATGTGCCTCACCTTTGTTTTCACGTCAAAGACCACCGTTAGTTGTGGCCAGCCTGGGTAACATGGTGAGACCCTGTCCCTTAACTCTCAAAAAGAAAGTTTAGCCAGGTGTGGTGTCTTACACCTGTAATCCCAGCCACAAGGGAAGCTAAGGTAAGAGACTTTATCTTAAAAAAAAAAAAAAGTTTCATGATCTAAATACTCCTAAATATATACAAATCATCTTCAAAACATCCCCTGCTCCAATTCCCAGGTTCCTGTTTTTCAAAAGCTGCTTTTACTTCCCAAATAGTTCTCAGAACTTAACCTTCTGGGTAGACAGTTTAGTGGAAGAATTTTTTTGGCCTTAATGTTCTCACTGGTAAATGCAATAGTAGGTATGAAGTTTAATCACAGACGTGGTAGGAAACTC